CGCAATGAAGTATTCCACAGGATATATTCTTGGCCCAGACAGCGTTCCTGACTCTAAACTCCACACAACGATCTTCTGGGAAGCCACGGAGATCACGGCCCCATGGGAAGATTTGGAAAGACGTTTGACCGGAGCAATTCAAGACATCCACTTCGCCACTGGCCCCAAGGATCAGCAACAATAGTGGGCCACAATCGCCATCGACCTTTGTGATTTGTCCAAATACTGAAGATTAGTGGATCGGATCTGTTAAAAGTAGCCCTGCCGTCTAGACGTCAACTTGACAGCGCAGGACCCATGATATTGATAGTCAATTGTCAACTTTCGAGACGTTCTCGATCTGTCAAAAGTAGCCCTGCCATCTGGATTTCAACCCGGCCGCACAGGATCCGTGATATTGGCAGTCAATTGTAAACTTTCGAGATTATTCCTGAATCTCTAGTCCGATTCAAACCAATCTCAAGAGTTTCCTCGCTCGGTTACTTAGATTGCCAATCTATGCCCGAAAGAGGAAGGTGATGCGGTGCCCCGCGGCCGTTTGATGCCACGTTGCTTTCAATATTCGTACTCTGCGAAATTCCTATCGCACCCGATTTGGAAAATGCTCTCTCAGTCGAGTCTTTGTCTTCTGGAAAGTAAAAATTTCTCCAATTAGAGACTCTAATTAACTCGTATCTGCGACGGAATGCCGACCCATGGATACCTACGATCTTAGCTCCTCACTAGCCGCACAGGGAGCGCCTCTAACAATCCGTTGCGTACTTGTGGTCCCTCAAGGAAAATCGAATTTTATGTCGAAGTCGAAGTACTATCATTGATCCTGTCACGTGGAATCTCTTTCTTTCTTCGTGTCTCAGGTCCATTCGGATATGGGTTGCATAGTTGCCGGTCCATGTAACAAAATGGCGGAATAGCGGCGATATTGTATGTCGACGCTTGCGAAATCTCGGCAAAGGGAATTCCATTAGCAAATAACAGCGAGTAGGAGATACATCGCCTGTAGTGATTTCTCTGTGTTAGCCATCACCAGATGCACAGTCCCTAAGGACATTTCCATGCCGACGATTTCTGGATCCAATCGACCAAAGTGCTCGTCTTCACACCGAGATCTTCATAAGATTTATCATCCTCATGCTTCATTGTCCCGTCGCCAAATTTGTCGCCAGGAGTCACAGCGATCCGCTTCATCATTTGCCGGATATCCTCTTCAACCCTTTGGCCAACAGTCGTCGCCACGGTGGTCCGCCTTTCATCAAGGGAAATCAGGTTGAACGTAGCCTTTTTTGAAGTAATCTCTTGGAAACTTTGCGAAGTTGGCAAATGAAAGCTTCGGACCAACTACGGAATACGTTTTCGATGCTGTCTTCTCCGACCCGTGTGAAAAACCCTCTATTGTATAGTATTTGATATCCCATGTAGAAGTGCACGGACAACGACTCCGCCTTGGTTTCCTGTTGTGCCAAGGACGGCGATGCACCCGGTGTGTTTTTCGGTGATCGTGATCATGTTGATGGATTTTGCCTACTAAGAGATCATTATGTGAAGTTCGGGGGTTAAGGGTCTTACTTATACGCATGGCATTGTGCCGTAATTCCGTCAGGTGAAAGCTACTAGTAGTGAGGAAGAGTGTTTTTTCGGCTGTTGGATCCCCCGAGGTCGATGTTGTTCTTGGAATATTGTTATTTGTATTCCTTCGGTTAATGATATTTCTCTAGTTGCATATTATGCTATTAGTACTGACTTTAGTGTACAGATTTTGGTCCAAGGATAATCATGCCATTGTGCTCCGTATGTACTTCGTAATTTGTGATAGACAACAACGCGGGAATGCCGCCAATCAGGATTGAGGCTAACGCTGGCATTCGGATTTACGGATTTGGGGTGGAGGTCCAGTATATCAGGAAGTACTATAGAGTCGGTGATGATGATGACCCTGGGATTATTGTAAACTATGTACTCCGTACAATCATAAAAGTGGAGAGATCCCCCCCGGGGTTTAACTTTTAGGCTTGTGTGATCGAGTCCAATGTCTACGGAGTACGGAGTACTTGTTGGCGAGTTCATCCAATTTGGATTTATTTACAAACAAAGAGTTTTGCTTGGAAAATACCAGGGAAATTGTGAATTACAGAGTACAATGAGCCTGTCAGGATGCCTCTGCAAGAGATTTACTCTGTATTCTTCCATCCCTTTAAACGCCTGTTTGATACAATATAGTCGATCTGGACAACTCACCAGCACATTCTCCATTCATTGGATAGTGTGACCTGTTACAGAGAACATGCCTGATAACTGTTGCTTGATCCACTGCGCTGTTGAGAACTGGCCGCTCACATACATGATTTGGTGCAGGGGCAGCAATTGATACTGTGTCTGTGTGCAATTGGGCTTCGTCGTTCCTCTCCCTTGGAGAATGGCAGTGGGTCTCGGAGTTGACTAATGGGAATTGATTAGCTTCTGGTGATTATCGCTCGGTCCTCCGCCGATAAAAGAATTTATATTCTCCGCATAAATTCCTTTGTCTCTCACATCGCCGACCTTGCTGCGAGCGTAGTTCTCGACGACGTCTTCTACAGTCGAGATTATACCATGCAGTTCACCACCGCTCGGGGATCGGTATGGGGCCATGAATGGCGATCCTCGCCTTTCTTTATCGTCAGTGCGATGGCCATGGCCTTGTTCACTGGTATGGATTGCTTTTGTCCCGCGTTGCAGCCGTTCTAACCACCCATTTATCCACTAGACGTCTTTCTGTATACATTCGTCGTACCGATCCTTCCCTACATCCTCGAACGTCGCCTCGGTCTCCCTGTGTCGCTGACGCAGCGTCTGAGTTTTGCATTGCTGGCGGAGAGTGCGATCGTATCGCTCATATGCAGTCCTTTCATCGGCCACTATGCGGACCAGATGTCTTCGAAGAAGATCTTGCTCCTGGCCTCATTGGCTGCTGCGCTATTTTCTACCATCCTCCTTGCGATGGCGACGTCGAGTATGTTGCGATTCCTCTGATTTGCAGATAAACCCCCCGGTTTCGTGCTATTGCAAAATGATGTCTGATTGTAACAACCACAGTGTTCACCCTATTCTTCGGACGTTTAATACAAGCCATTGCGAGCTCGTTCATCTGGACAGTGGGATACGCAACGATTGCGGACAATGTTAACCAGGAACATCTTGGAAAGACGTACGGTATGATCTCCCTTGTGGTGTCGGCGGGCACGTCCGGGGGGCCCATGGCGGCTGGTATACTGTTCGAGATCGGTGGATACTGGCTTGCATGGTCGAGCGCCTTTGTGATACTTGTTGTGGACATTGTCCTTCGGGCGTTGATGATTGAGCGACCGAAGACACAACCCGGTAAGTATAGGCTTGCGGTCCAAACCAGAAGATAGCCCGGTCTCTAACCTGGATGGTTAACAGGTACACCGCGCACCGAAGGTCAAGATCCCGAAAATGATCCCCTCCTGCCGAGCAGCGACATCATCGTAGAAGAAAAAAAGGGATGGCACTTTTATGCGTATATGTTTCAGCACCGCCAATTTGTATGTGGTGCCATGAGTTACTTCGTCTTTGCGATATTAATCTCCAGCTTCGATACTACGATCCCTCTACATGTTCGTGACGTATTTGGATGGGGTAGTATGATGTCCGGCATGTTATTCGTCGGTCTGCAGGGTCCTGGAATCATTATGAGCCCTCTTTGCGGCTGGTTGAAGGATCGCTATGGGACGCGGTATCCGATCGCAGCAGGCTTCGCCATCTTGACACCGATCATGTGGGTGTTGGGTATGCCCGGTGACGATCGGTTTCCCTGGGTAAACCGCGACAATAACGGTCAAATTATCTACGTTGCCTGCGTGATTGCGGTGGGGACCTTTTCATGCTTGCTCAATGGTGCAGGGACTATTGAAGCCACAGGTCTGTCAGCTTGGTCTCCATGGGACTTCGTTCGTATTCGCTAATTTCGTTCTCCTTCCAGTGACGGTCGATGAGATTGAAGCCAGACATCCTGGTATCTTTGGCCCTAACGGCGGCTATTCGCGCGCGCTATCTGTCTCTAGCATGAGCTGGACTTCGGGCGCATTCATCGGCCCTATCCTGTCTGGATATCTGACGGAGCGGGTCGGATATTATGAAATGAATTGCGTGATAGGTGCGTTGCCTTGGTTTCCCCTTTTGCCCGGTTACTGTACTAATGCCTGCTCAGCGGTGCTCTGCGCCCTTTCGTCTGTCAATGCGTTTTGGAACCTCAAGTCTAAGGCTCGAGCGACCGGTGATCAATCCGCTAAATGATGAAAGGGTTCTGTGGAATCTGACAATCAAAGTAAAGAAGCATTTGGCTCAAATGATACGAGAGCAATCATAGATGTTATGATGATGTGATAGATCCGACGACGAGATGAGTCTTTAAAAAAGCATGTTTCACGAGTGTTGGCAGCCATTTATTTGAACTTTTGAGGTTTTCCGAAGTTGATGATGATCATGTCGATGGCATATATATACGGTCTCTTTATTTATTGTCCCTCTCTTTGTTCTCTCGGTAGATTAGTACCATAGACGGTCTTGATATCATCCTTCTATCCGAAAGGGAACAATTGGTATAATATATTACCCACAATAGCTCCCCTGACGCTTGATAGTCTTCCGGTGAAGTTGGTCGATTTCAAAGATGCGAGATTATGCACAGGCTCTTCCATGGCCGAAATTCGGAATATATATAGATCGGAGTCAAGACCTAGTGATAACTTGTTCAACAACGTATTCTGTGGAGGGCGAAAGTTGACTGTTCTCAGGCTGACAGTTATTTAACTGCATCCTCTTCTCAGATTCAATCAATTGGTAACTTCAATATGATCATAGTAATCGTCTTCCGCCAATTACTAGTACTTACCAATGGCAGATATTAATATTAACCTCTCCATCTCCAAATTGAATTATGTCGGCATATTCTTTAGTTATTTTGCTTAGAAAACATAAACAGCCACGAAAACTCCATCAATGGGGCAGTAGCTCAGTGGGAGAGTGGAAGATTGCAATGACCGAACTGGTTAATCAAATTGCAAGCTATCTTTAGGTCGCCGGTTCGATCCCGGCCTGTCCCTCGAAATAACTTTTTTGGGTGTGCAATATAGTAGTGAATAATGGACAAATAGTAAGTTCTGGATGGAGTATTTATTATTTTTTTACTAGTTAGTACAGACAGAGTACGGAGTAGTATACCTCTAAATACCTACTAACCTATTGTTCATTGATCTTCCATCCCTGCCTGCTAGTATATAATAAACCATTGCTGGTCAATCGTGACCACACTTCAATGCCTCAGGCGTAAAGTAGTATATACAGTACCTGATGACTGCACCTGATTTCTCCAAGTTCCATCCCAGGACACAAATGACCTTCTTACCAGACACACATTCAATCATTCTGCATCCAACGATCTCAGGACGTTTACTCCCACTTCTCGAATTCTCAATCTGCTCTCAGAAATGCATCTCATACCAAGTACCATTGTACTGAACACAGCGCTAAAGCGCGGATTCGCCCCTGTTGAACTGCAACAGGTGTCAACAGTCGCTGATCATTACAAGCAGTGGTGACAGTCTGTCATACGAATTCCGGCTTGGATGAATCCAGGGAAATGGCAGTGTCTGGGATGTTATTCGGTCATCCCCCCAGCCATCCAGGAATGCGGAAGGAGCCGCGTCCCTTCAACCCCTTCATTAGATTGCAACAAAGCCAGGATAAAAGTCAATCCTCGAGGATACTAACGGGGCAGTCAGTACGGAGTACCATACGGAGTACGGAGTAATTGACAGCAGTTTTCTTATCCATGTTGTCAAGGCCGCATTCCTAGACAAGGGAGGAATCTTGTGGCTTTTTCAAGAGACTGACCCCTTGAAAGTCAAATAGGAACTAGGATTGCAATTCCTATGAAAACAAGAATCTAACTTCAATTGCTGCGATGAAATCCGCCTGTTCACATACCAGTCATGTTGGTCGAGACATCGAGAGCAACTAACGATATCCTCGTCCAACACAGCCAGTAGCCGTATGCAATAAGGTACGAGGGAGGACGCAAGGGATTGATATACCCCTTTTGCACTCGGATGGGCCTATCCGCATGCAGGAGTTATACCCTTGGCTCTGCATTCCATACGCGCCGCGCTGAATTATAAAGATCGCGTCTCTGACGGCGGGAATTCTGATGGCTGTTCTTTTCGATTCAAAATCACGACACGGCACGACACATGTCTATCGCCATGGGTATGAAGTCACTCAAGGTCTGGGTATCCGGCCTAATATACGCGGCGTTTCTCCGGGAATCTTACGCTTTGTCGGCCGATGCGTACCGTTTTGGGGATGACATTGGCTCTGCGCTTGGGAGGAGATTGTCAAATGGGGCTAGTATTTACTTCCCTGGGAATGATAATTTCAGTAATGCCACTGCCCGGTGGTCGCAATGGGGCAAGCCAAATATTAGTGTTGTTGTGGAGGTCGCGAATCAGTGGGATGTTGCTGAGACGGTGTGTGGAGATTGCGTCGTCTTTGTGACATGCAGACTGATTAGAGGACTAGGTCAAATATGCGAACGAGCACGATGTTCCCTTCATCGCCATCAATGGTGGTCATGGAAACATTAAGAGCATGGAAAATGTTCACCAGGGCATCGAGATCTGGTTGCACAAGCTCAACACCGTTGCCATTTCGGATGTAGGTGATACTGCTACCTTCGGTGGTGGTATTCTCTCCCATGAGGTCATTGAGTCGCTATGGGCGGCTGGGAAGCAGACTGGTGAGTTTCTGATGAAGATTTCTTGTGTTATCGCCTATTGAATAACATCCGTTGTAGTCACCGGTGTCTGTGACTGCACTGGGTTCCTTGGACCGGCACTCGGTGGAGGCCATGGGTACCTGCAAGGACGCCACGGCCTCATTGCGGACAACTTTGTATCTCTGGAGGTTGTGACCGCCGATGGAGAGCTCCGAATTGTCACGCCGTACGGCCCCGAATCTGAATTGTTCTGGGCTATGCAGGGTGCCGGCCACAACTTTGGCATTGTGACCTCCGTCACTAGCAAGATCTATGACGTGCAGGGCGAGGGTTTGTGGGCTTTTGAGCGCTATTCTTACACCCAAGACAAGTTGGAGGCTCTATTTGACTACCTCAACATTTTCGGCAACGATGGCAACCAACGTGTGGATGTGATGTACTGGGCGACCATCTCCCATGAGCCCGACGTGGATCCTACTAATGTAAGCGGCTTTGCTCCAAGCGCTCCCATATAAAGACTAATTTTTTCTAGCCCAGCATTTCTATCTTCGTCTTGCAGGAGGGTGTCGCAGCCATGGACCCAGACGTGTCGGCGCCCTTCCGCAACCTTGGACCTGTCACGGTAAACACCAACTCCGGCCCGTACGTGGACATCTCCAAGTGGACGGAGTTTAACATGACCTCGCGGGCGTGCCGGAAGGGTGGCGGCTACATCGCCCGCTTCCCAATCAACTTGAAGAACTACAACCTGGAGGCGCAGCGCACCGTATTCGACGTGTTTGCCGCGGAAACTCTTGACAACCCGGTCTTCGGGCACTCCAACATCATGCTCGAGGGATACTCCTCGCAAGGCGTCAGGGCAATCAATGAAGCCTCCACTGCATACCCTCACCGCCAGGACACGATCCTCGTTTCTTCCGTCATCATCTTCGATAACGCAACGGACCGGGCTGCGGCTGAGGCATTCGGAAACCGAATGCGCGACATCTTCCACGACGGGACCGGCGAGGACGAGAAGCATGTTTATGTGAACTATGCCTCTGGTGACGAGCCCTTGGAGACTATTTACGGATATGACTGGTGGAGACACATCAAGCTATCTGAGTTGAAGAAGAAGTATGACCCGCATAACCGGTTTCGATATTACGCGCCTATTCCCGTGGCGGGACTGTGAATAGTAGATGACGTTGTATATTATGATTTTTGCTTGCGTATTGTTTCATGCTGGCGATTATCAGAGGTTCTATACACAATCGGTGATGTATATTTTGAATGATAATGCAAAGATATCCTTTGTTTTCTCTACCATTTCACGTCACTGGTCTCGACCTAGATAACAAATCCTCTCTTTATCCTCTATCGAAGCACAAGGGGCGGATTCTCCATGCGTTTCACCACCCTGCTCCTCGGTCTTTCCCCGACTGCTCTCATGGCGAACCCCCTTGAAGTAAACACCATGAACGTCACGGAGAGCAATGCTGATGCTACCGGGAAGTCCTGTGGTGCTCTGTCTCCTATCGCAGCGTTGCTGTCACCAACAAGCAGCCAATCTCAGAGCCTTCAAAGGTCAGTTATGCTTTCACGCATTTATGCAGACGAATCCTAATATGTCAAGTGCACTGTAAGAACTTGGAATGGAATTAACTACAGTGGAAGTTGCTTCACCTTTCTCTATCCTGGTAGTCACTCAGTATTGTACACGCCTCTCCATTCAGTGCTAGATCCATTATTGTACGGTATCGGCCACGAGTACAGGCTGGCCAAGTTAAAGGGCCAGGTTATGGACGAACTACGATAAACTAGCTGATAGCTAAACAGTTGGGAATCATAAACAAGGCACTCTAAGGCCGTCCTGGCAAATTGAACTGATTTTCTCGACTACTGTGGCCAGTATAAGTTTGTATCTATATCAGCCGGGATCTCCAGGCCTGAATCTTCAGACGCTGTAGTACTCAGCGCAGTTATCACATCACCACTCGGCCACCCATGCGACGTCACAACCCGGTGTGTTCTAGGAGGATACGAAGGTCTCTAGGTACATGGATGCCCAGTGTATTAGGCCCGAGCTGTAATCATCCCCACGCTTATATCGAACACAAGCCACTGGCAGTCTTCAAACTGCAAGTGCTTGCCAAGTCGCTACATGGAGGTGTTGTATCCAATCCTTGAGCCTGCTGGATTTTCCTCCATCAAGGAATCTGAGATGTCTTTCGAAGCCAATCACAAGTATGTTGAGTGTCGATTGTGTTTGGCGAGGTGTTCAAGGCTATTCAAAACCGGGACTGAGGGTGTTGACGACATTGGTGGGCAACGCGGAAGAGGCTCGGACTTGCTGCTATAGTAGGTGCGTACTACTGGGCTATGTAGCTAGTGTAAGATGATTTAAACCTGATTGAGGCATTTTATCTTATCTTGGCGTTGTTTTCGTTGAAGGCTGTTGGTTGATAAGACGTTGCTTCCACTTAGGGTTACGTGCTCAACGCATGCGAGATACAGACTCTTGCTGTGATGGGTGGAATCGGGTCTTCCGAGCTTACAGTGCATTGGCATTGTCAGGGGCGAAGTTTTAGTTCAAACAGTCTGTTTGGCTACGTTTTATATCTCCTTGAGTGTGATGTCTGGGACATGGATAAAAACTTGAGAGATCCAAGTATCACCGGATGAACGTGACGCTTGATTGGGAGATCGAAAATGCCACGGTGGACTAGTTCTAAAGGCGCATTATTAGCTTGCGATCGACATCCTCTCCCCTGTCCAATATCTAATCTATGATGTGTAATGTAAATGATATCGTGACACTGTGCTGAATATAGTACTCAATGCCACCCAAGCTTCGAGCTTCTATAAATTTGAGCCTGAATTCGCGATACATTCATAACAACATTTCTAATAGCCTCTCACAACGCACTTTGGTTACCTTACGCTTCAACATGCCTTCACCGACGCTGGATCTGCTGGACTTGGATTTGTTCAAGCCGATGGCAGAGCATTTGACAAACGATGAAAGAATTGATATCAGCTATCAGCGAGCATATAAAATTGCCAAAGCATACGGTAACATCATCGACATCTCGATTCGATCAGGGGCTAACAGGTTGTGAATAGATATGACGATGGCGGATGTCCTCGACCTAACGCCAAAATTTTGGGATTTCCACCAAGATCTCATCGTACCGGTGGATTTCGCAGCCTTCGTTCTGTTGGTAATCCAATTCAACCTCGTGGCTGGCTTAGTGGCGCCGTTTGCTGTAGATGACCCGCAGTATAAGTCTCTATTGCATCGGATACTCAGTTTTGATGTCTGGTAAGTTTGGAGGAGGTACCGATCAA